AGACAAAAAGAAAGAAGAGAGAGAAAAGGAAAGTGAGGAGAGACGTTAAGAAAGAGTCAAAGGAGAAAGAAGGAAAGAGAAGAAAAGAGATTAAGGAAGAGCTAGAGGAGGAAGAAGGAAAGAGAGAGAAGGAAACACTCACGGGGCACGGCGTTGCCACTGCCGTGTGTGTTCAGAGAGGGAAAACAAAATAGAGAGAGAAGTCCATGCATGACGCTGCCATCGCCATGCACGCTCAGACAGAGAGAAGCAAGAGAAAGATAGAGCAGAGAGAGAATAAATAAGAGAGAAAGATAGAGCAGAGAGAGAATAAATAAAGAAGAATAAGGGAAAGAAGGAGAAGAGAGAGAAAGAGGCATGTACGGTGCTGCCACCACTGTGTGTGTTAGAGACAGAAAATAAAATAGAGAGAGAAAAATTCATGGATGGCGCTGCCATTGCCATGCATGTTCAGACCGAGAGAAGCAGAGAGAAAGAAGAAGAAGAAAAATAAGAAGAGAGAGAAGAGAGACGCACGCACACCTCTGCCACAGTCGTAGATGTTCTCAGAGAAGAAGAGAGAGAAGCCGAGGAAAGAAGAAGAAAGAAAAGAGAGACAAATAAGGAGAGAGAAAAGAAACTGAAGACGAAGAAGAATAAGAGAGAAAAAGGAGGAGTGAGAAGAAAGGAAGAGAGAGAATTGCCTTGGGGAAGAGGGGTACCGATGTAATTCTTTTCTTTCCTCTTTCTCTCTCTTCAAGACCTTCCTATCAACTCAATGTAAAAAAACTCAAGCTTTATTGATCAATTGAAAGTATGGGAGGGGCTCCCTTTATAATTAGATTTAACATGTATTTATAGAATTGGGCCCAAACATGGGTAGATGCCCAAAAACTATCCTAATTGATGATAATTACAATTTATTTGAATTAAAAGAAATTTAAAAACTAGGTACAAAATGATTGTTTTGCCCCTGCCTAAGAATACATGAAATTTTGAAACAGTCCTTGCTGCTGCCCTAGAACGTGCGTGATCTTCCATGTATGATCCGGGATTGCTCTGATGCCTGTCTGACAAAAAGATGATTGCTTTCTTGTAGGGCTTGTCATGGCGATCGATTTGATAGCAACTTCGAACCACGAATCGTGTTTATAAGCCATGATCATGCGACTTGAAATTCATGCGAATCTTGAAAATTTCGGATCGATGTTGTGCTCATATATTGATGTTTCTTCGTGATTTCTTCGCTATATTGCACTGAGCATGCTATCACGATCGCATGACAATAAATGCAGCTCGATTGATTTTTGCAGACTTAAGTTTTTTGTCGGAATCTGAATTCTGAAGGCCGAAATTTATAGCAATTTTATCGGCTTCGCGTGTGAAATCCGACCGTTCATCATGCACAGGGTTCAGACCAATGGTAGCCCTGGACCTTACACATGCGATATGGCCACTCGAGTGGGATGTGTTGCTGCTAAATTTCCTACAACTTCCTTCACGAATCATTAACTTCTCTCTGGTTTTTCTTCCTGCTTGGGCGTTGTCACAGGGCGTGCCACATATCAAAACGCTCGTCTTGACGAGACGAACACACTCACAAAATTTGAGCGCGATCCAACTCGAAACGAGTGAAATATGGGTCTTGAAAGTCACTGCCCGAGACTATGAAACCAGTCACCATTAATAGTGATTTGGTGCAGGGAGGGTGCATGGGAATAGTGTGCGGCCTACCCCTTTTTGATCTTTTACCCTTAACATTGTCCTGGAGGGCCAATTAAGCCGAAACTTGACTCATAAGGGTTTTCGACCATGCCGAATCCAATGGCAGTGACCTCACAATAATTTGAAGCATCAAAAATAGATTTCTAGTTACAAAGTTCATTTCAGGGTGCTAGAGACTGATTTTTCTGAAATTGTTTCTCTGTCTGCACTGCCTAAGATATGTTGGATTGGGACAAAACCTAGCAGGTGGCCTTTTGAAGTCCTTATGAGCATTTTCACTTGTTCTGGGGAAGTTCTGAGACTGTCAAGAATTCCACTGTAATTCAGGCTTTATTGATCGGCTTCTCTTTTTATTCTGCGTCGGGGACCCAAGGTGTTAAAAAATGACTTCAAACAGCTTGCCCCGCCGATTGTTGTGCTTCAAGAGAAGCAAGAAGGACAACATTCAAAAAATTTCTTTCGATTTTATTTCTTTTTTCTTCCTAGCCACAGGACCACATGAACATAGAGGAGATCCATGCAATGTTGTAACTAGGATGCTCAAACATTTGGATGCAATGTACAGGTCCATCCGTGGAGACTTTAGGGGTAGTATAGACTTTCTTGATGGATCCTGTCGAAGTCCTCACCCTCAAGGGACTATTTATGATTCTGACAACTAAGGATTTTGTACGGACCTTGTTGGCGAGAATCAGGCCCGTCTAGTGGTCGAGTGCCATGCTGAAGGTCATTTTTTCCATTTTATCTGGGTTTGCTTGTTTTGTTGTTTGTTCTGGATGGTCTGCTGAAGGGCCTTTGGTTTTGGTTGGCGTCCGTCTGCGTGGTGCACCAGATTGTACTCGGTGGGCAGGGTACCTCAATTTATCGAGGTGACGAGCTTGGGGTATAACCCCTACCTACTGCTAGCAGTTTCAACAACCAAGATACCTCTCTTCTTTGTACGAGGCATCCCCTAAGGGCTCAATCCTGTTGCTGTATAACAGGTCCAAGTTCTGGCTGACTTGGCCTACTTGGGGCATCTTTGAGTGCGTTAGTGACCTTGTGGGAATAGTGCTCTTCCTCATGAGACTCGTCTTGCCTTCTTGGCAAGTCTTCTGTCTTTCGAGTCTTTTTTGTAAATGGACTCAGGCTATAGGAATCTTGCTTGATGCTCGTATTTTTTTGTCCTAGTATTATGACACCAGGGATTTTTCTGGGCTGAAGCCACCTATAGAAGCGAGTGTTGCATCAACTTATTTATTGGTCCAAACGTCGTTTGCAGGTTTTTACTTGGATTTGGGAAGCAGTGCCGTAGAGACAGTTTTCACCACTTTCCTTTTATTCGGGGATCTTTTACTCATGACCTTTCGGCCACGTCCACCCTTATTTTCTCAATTTTACTCGCGGTGCCCTTTCAAATTTTCACCATGCCCGGGTTTTTATTTTCACGAAACTATCTTACTCATGGTTTCGTGACCATGCCCGTCCGTCATTTTTCTCATGGCGTTCCCTTGTTCAAGTATACACCAGGCTCATTATTCTTTTTTTATCTTTTTTTTTTGTGAATGCATGTTTAGGGTCATGCCTTCGGGACCTGTGCAAAGCTTTTTAATGTCATGCGACCATGACATGTACTACAGTTTAAGGTCAAACAGCTAGACCATCGTGGTGATGAATGGCAGTCTGTGGAGGCCACAGAGTGAGTATGGTGGTGGTTTTGACTCACTCTGGGGAGATGACACGAGATTACCTATGAAAGATGGATGATGTATGAATGGTGGGTCAAAAGTGGTGACCCACTAGCTGACGGCGAGTATGGATGATGGGATGGCTCACCGTTTTGTGAGCATGGGTGAGACTCACTGGGGAATGATGAATGGTAGTGAAGGGATTCACTGGGGAGTTATGAAGGTGGTACACGCACACGAACGGGTCAGTTAGAAAAGGCGTACATGAAGATGCATGTAAAAGGCATGTGCGCGTGTGTGAGGGCGAGTTTAAGTTCATGCCTTCAGGACCTGAGCAAAGCAATTTATCGTCATGCGGCCAGGACGTGCACTATAGTTTAGAGTGATATAGCTTGGACTGTGGTTATGTAGTTTAAAGTCATGCAACTAGGACCATGCAGTCTAAGGTCGTGCAACTAGACCTCCGCTACAGTTTAAGGTCATATAGTTTGGACCATGGTGCTAAGTCCTTTAACATCACGCGGCCAGGACGTGCACTATAGTTTAAGGTCACATATCTTAGACCATGAATGTGCAATTTTAAGGTCATGCAACTAAGACCATGCAGTTTAAAGTCGTGCAACTATACCTCTGCTACAGTTTAAGGTCGTGCAACTATACCTCCGCTACAGTTTAAGGTCGTATAGTTTGGACCATGGAGTCTAGGGTCGTGCATCTAGACCGTGGCTATGCAGTTTAAGGTCATGCAACTAAGACCATGGATGTGCAGTTTAGGGTCATACAGCATGGACCATGGCTGTATAGTTTAAGGTCATATAGCACGGACTAAGGCTGTGCAGTTTAAGGTCGTACTGCACGGACCATGGCTGTGGGTAGCCGTGTAGGTGAAGCTTTATGGGGGATAGGTCTGTGGATGACAATCTGACTCCTTGGGGATAAAATAGTTAAGGTTATACCCAAGTAGAGGGCTTAGAGGAGATGGTGACCCGATGAGGAGTGGCAAACGGAAGCAGACTCTTGGGGGTTAGGGGGCAAGCATGGCTTTTTAAGGTGAAAGATGAAACTCCATGGGAAATAGCTTGGTGCGAGACTGACCCATGGGGATTGAAGGGGTAAGCATCACTCTTTTTGGCATATACCTAACTCCACTGGTGATGATGGGCTGCGGCACTGGTGTAACTCCCACTAGGGATGATGGTGGAACACTCACAGTGGTGATCGAGTTCAGCCATACACGACACTAGCATGGAGTCACCAGTTGCACAAACGGCGTTGAGCAGTCACTGGCGCATGGGTTTGGTACATGCGATGTTAATTCACAAGCAACGTTCATCAGGGAGTTTCACTCGCGGCGTTCGTCACGGGGTTTCACGCGTGGCATTAGTCACACGGCATTAGCTGCGAGCAGCGTTGGTCTGAGTTTGGCCCTTGGGCTTGATCCCAACCTGGTTTGGCCCATTGCCATTTGATGCTCGGCATTGCACTGACGGTCCGACACATTACCGTTTGTCTTTCAGGGGCTTGTCTGGTATTCTTGCTTTGTGAGGGGCACTTCGCGGAAGTGTCTTCTATATAAGGGGGTAAACCCCTTTTTTCACCGTTTCACCGTAGTTAAAAACGGTTAAGGTTTTTAACAACAGGAGTGAGAGAGCTCCCGGCGAGAATTCCAATAGAGCACAGAGCTTACAAGCGAGAGTTTGTCGGCAAGCATGTTGTCCAGAAAGAACCAGCAGAGTTACACAGGGGCTTTGCGAGGGTCACTGTTGTTGGAGTTGAAGAGAAGGCAGCGCAAGCAAAACAGGGAGTTGTTCGGAGTCTTTAGAGATTTCAGTAGTGGTTCTGGGAGTATTGGAGAAGAAGAAAGGGATCTAAGTTGCTGCAGGGAGCAGCCAGTGAACTTCCACCTTTTTTCGGGAGTTTTCCAATGGCTTTCCACCGTCCCCAGAAGAAGATGGGAAAGTCTGCCAGTGAGTTTTCCGACAAGTGGAAGTGGTTTCCCGACAGGAATCCGAGAGGTATAATATTATAATACTATATAATAATTGATAATTATACAGACATCCAGACAAAAAAAATGTATCAATATTTACCTATTTTTACAAAGTAATGAAAGTACTTAATGCATCACTCTTAATTACATTTAGAAACTAAAATAACATTATTTTTAGAGATTTATACTTCATCCTTGATAATTCTATCCTTCTTCTTTTGCATGATGCTAATTTAATGGTTAACAGTAGTTCATACAGGGAAAGAACATCTCCATATTTGCATATTGATGCAAGAAAATGAAAATTCTTAATGGAGTACCCTCATTTCTTATTGGATTATTAAAAAACAACATTTATAATGAATTTTAATAATTGTTTTGTAATTTTTTGAGGCTGAATTCGATTGATTCGGTCGATTCCTGATACAAATGGCTGATTCACCAATCCGAATGGGTTTTTTGGGCGCCCGATCTAGGGCACTAATCCATTTTTTAAACCACTGCTTCCAGGTCCTCTTCCTCCCACATTCGCTTTGCCCTATCCAAACCCAAAAGATCGTGATTGATCATGCAAGTACTTAATCTGAATCGGTGCCGACTCTAGGTGCTGGGCTTAGGGGGCCCACCTAAGGTTCTATGTTTCTTTTGTTTTCTTTGACTCTATGTATGTTATCCATATTTTCCTTTGCTTCTTTATTAATGAGTATTCATCACCATCATTAAGCTCCCTCTCATTCAGACCCTCCATTAACGCTTACATTCTCCTCTCTTCTCCCTTTACTTCCAATCATAAGCATTAATAAAGTTTATCCATATTTATCTTTTAATGTTTCTATAGTTATTCATAGGCATGTTTTGAAGTTTTCTTAGAATAGTTCAGTTTGCTTCGATTTGTTTGATTTCATTATCATTTCTCTATTTCTAAAAGATATTCACTAAAGCCCTCCCTTTTTCCATTAAACCTTTTTAAAAGGCTTCTCACAAACTCTAAGGCTAAGGTGCACGAAAATCCGGTATTGCCGATGATCTGAGCGAGATACGACCTTGTGGGGTCCAATTCTCTATCTGAAAACAATTTGATGGGAGCTTTTTCTTTATTAACTCTTCAACACGTTTGCACCTAAAACCAAGGCGGGGAACCAAATTTTCTGCCTGCATTTTTTAGTATAAACACTTTTTTAATTAGAGTCTTTAGTGCTTCTCAAGGTTATTAAGGTTTCTATGTTCTTTGAGTTCAAATCACTCATGGATATGTCATAGGATCGAGCCTTTATGGGAGTGGAATTTCCCTGAAAGTTTCGTACTCCATTCTTTCAAAGAGAGTTTAAGATGCCAAATCTTACATTGGTGGCGAAAGCAAGCCCTTCTCGAAACAAGCGTAGCGAAAGAGTTCCACCAAAGAGGAACCGGGTTGAGGAAGGTTGCCTTCTCGAGTGATGCCATCTCGAATAAGAAAGGTTTAGGATCCCTAGAGATGAGTTGGGTATTGATTGGGATTTTATAATGATTTTAAAATAGGTTTGGGAAGGGCAGAGATTGGAGCCTGGAAATGAGGCATCCCATCAGTGCTAAGCAAACAGCGGTTGAGTTTGGAAAGAGAGGGGGTGGCGGAGTGGTTGGACCAGTTGTAGTTGGCCCCTTCCAAGTGAGTGGATGTCTACGAGCTTGTGTCTAGAAATGAAGTTCAAGAACTAGGTCGTTACTATGATCAATCTAGAGAGGGAATTACGTTTGAACGACCACCTTGTGATGTTAAAACCCCCTCCTAAGCACCACCTAAAGGGGGAATGTATGCTGCAAGATCTAGTTCAACCCAAAACTGTTCATTAAGACTTTCAGAGTTGGGGTCATAGACTGTCATGAACTTCCAAAAGAGGCCATCTGAGATTCTCAAAAGGACTACAATCACTGAGAAGGAGGCTACATGTGAGAAGGAGAGGGAGTGAAGGGAGGGATACCAAATGATCTAGATGCCTCTCCAGGCTCCCACTATAGGGAAGACTTCTCATTGGCAGGGTCTTTGAGCCCAGACCTGTCTAACCAGTTGGAGAGAGGGTGATGGAAGTTTGGTTTCTAAGGGTGAGGATTGTAAGGGAATGGTACCCAAGGCTCTGGATATTACAAGAGAGGATTAGCATGAGGGGGAGAGCGGACACGCGCCTAGGAGAGCATCGAAGAGAGGATCCTTCTAGTGAAGCAAAGGCCATAGGCAAGGCATCCGAAGGGTTGCCGGTCATAGCTGATGTCAAAAGTAAGGTTGCAGATTTCTCTAGTACCTCTGCCTTTAACCTTGGAACAAGATCGAGCATCTGCCTTTAGGAAAGCATGAAGACCATCTTGTGGGCCATCATAGGGGAACCCATCACTTTGAGAACTTGGGTCAATTTTTCTTAAGCGTAGTCCATTTCTTCTATAAATTTGGAGTCCACCAACTTAGGTGAAGATGATGAAGCTTCGAAGAAGGAGTTGTATGAGTCACTAATAAGGGGGATGGGGCAAGAGAGAGGGACCAAGGTGAGTGGGGTGTGGCTGGATGCGTGCTAGCTGAGTAGGAGAGGGGACAGTGGGTCGAAGCACTGGAAGTAACAAGGAAGGGGAGGGGGACAACATTGGCCATGGAGGAAAGGAGAGTGGCGGTGGCGGTAGAAAAGAAGTGGGAAAAGAGCAAAGGACTGAAAGGTGACAAATGGAAGAAACCCTAAGGGGAGGTAGAGAGGGGAAATGCAAAGCGGGGAGGGAGAGAGGGCAGAGGGGGGAAAAGGGATCATAGAGAAGGTGGTGGGGAGATGCTGGGATTAAGGTAAGGAGACGGAGTCAAAAAAGGAGTTCTGGAGAGCATTTGGGGATGATGAGAGTGACTTGCAGCCAAGGATAGGAGAGATGATATCTTCAAAGTTTGACACCTCTGGATGTTCAACCACCAAAGAAAGGCCCTCAGGGGATTCAATGGAGAGGTCCACCAAGTGGGAGCTAGCTGTAATGGAGGGCAAAGGTATGGGAGCAGAGAAGAGTCTTGCACAAACAGGAGAGGGATTAAGTGAAGAAGCAGGTGGGTGGGAGCACAAAGAGGGAGAAAGGAAGGGGTTTAGAAGAGGAGGATGGGGAAGAAGGAAGTGAGAGGAAAGAGTGAAGGGCCAAATGAAGAGAAAGCAGGTGCAGGTGCAGGTGTAGGCTAGCTAGAATCATCGAGTTGCGATGTGGCCATTTGGTGCAAGGACAGACAAAGGAGGGAAAAGAGCAACCATGAGGGCACTCTTGAGTAGAAGGAAAGGGGAAGATGATTCTTCTTTTAGTGAGTTTTCCTAAGGTTTTTTGCCCAATTTCTCGATTCCACAGGCATCATCTCGTCAGGTTTGGAAAGAACTGACTAAAGCCAAGGAGAGCTTAGTGTTCAAAGAGGGGTGGGTCTTGTCGACCAGGAATGAGGAAAGGGAAGGATAACGGATAAGCAGAAGAGTGGGATGGGAGAACAAAAGATGGAGCCGAGACTGATGTTTGATGTTTTGCTCCAATACTATTTGATGTTTTTTATGGCCTTGCCACAATGAGATATACAAATATTCCAATTTCATATTGAATTGAGTTTTTTATAAAAAAAAAAGATAATTTGAGGCTAACAAGTAGAAAAATAATGCCGGAGTCCAATGCAGGGAAGTCGCAACTTCCAAACTTTCCTCTTCCATGGGGGTGTTGGAAGCACTGGCTTCCCACTTAGGTATTGGGACATTCTAGCCCCTTAACAATTATAGGGCTCCATGTTAGATTTTGTGGCCTTTTAATGTTGTTGCCACTTAGGATTTGAACTTCTGCTCACATATATTTTCATGTACTAAAATTACTCATGTTTTTGTACTCTCGCCAATGTGGCTTATTTTGTTGATAGAGATCATTATAGTGATGAGGACCAATTCCATGGATCAACGAGGCCATCGAGAACATTTTGACTCATGCTTTTATGTCTTAGAACATTCTCAGTTTGAGTGGGAGTGTTGAACTCACATGGATGACATAGACCTTGTGAAGCATGCCCTACTTGGATGAAATAGCCATTGAGGTAGACGATTTATAATTCAATGAAAGAAATCACTAGAGGGGACATGACCTCCTTGGATTGAACAAGGCACTCAAAGTTGATTGAAGTTGTCCCGAACTAGAATGTAATGGACTCCATAGGTCTTGCCTTGGGATGCAACTGAATCTTTTCTAAATGAGTGGAACTGCACACAAGGCTAGATAGTTTATTAGCTATGATGCGCATTATCAAAGGAGTTTAATGGTAACATTAGGTTGGTGATGGATTATATGTCTAGGAGATGAATATGCTTCTGTCTACAAAGGTAGCTTCTGTCTACAAAGGTAGCTTCTGCCTCAATGCTTCATCCTACACAGTATGAATCTGATACTAATCACCTTTTTGTAGTCCATTGATGAATCAGTAGCATCCATGTACCTGATAGACTCCCCTTGCAAGGAAGAAACATGGATTCCTATGCAGTGATTTCTAAGTGCATAGAAACATGTCTCGAACTAGAATGTAATGGACTCCATAGGTCTTGCCTTGGGATGCAACTGAATCTTTTCTAAATGAGTGGAACTGCACACAAGGCTAGATAGTTTATTACCTATGATGCTCATTATCAAAGGAGTTTAATGGTAACATTAGGTTGGTGATGGATTATATGTCTAGGAGATGAATATGCTTCTGTCTACAAAGGTAGTTTCTGTCTACAAAGGTAGCTTCTGCCTCAATGCTTCATCCTACACAGTATGAATCTGATACTAATCACCTTTTTGTGGTCCATTGATGAATCAGTAGCATCCATGTACCTGATAGACTCCCCTTGCAAGGAAGAAACATGGATTCCTATGCAGTGATTTCTAAGTGCACTAGGCCCTAACCGTTTTATCGAGGAGGGCATGTGGAATAAGTGGCTGTCTCTAGCACTTCTAAGTATTGAGCAGCTTTGCTAGGCCAATCATGAGCCCCTCGCAAGGTAGACATCTGGGTCATGGGTCCATTGTGATGTTTAATGTCATCATAGGGTAATTATGGAGTGCCTCGTAGAGGATCTGGTTTCGATGTTACCAGATTCATCTAAGGTTTTATAAGGAGCATTTCCAGAGGTTTTTCTCCACCGAAACGCCTAAATATTATATACTATTTTTGTACTCAAACAAAGGTTGTATGTAGAGTAAAATATTTGCTTTTGCAAAAAAGATATTCCTAGAATTTTATCAGTGTTTACATGGAACAATCTTGTAGGAGATTTAGTGGGACACATGGTGCCCATCAATGAACTTGTTTTGTGTTTATGTGGACCACATGGATTTAAACATTTTACTCTAATTAAAACAACTGCCATGGTGCCATGTCGATGACAAAAAGTCAAACTTGTTGTATGGAGCTGACTAAGTTTCCTATGCATGAGTACCTAGAAGATGTCCTAAATAATTTTGGAATCGAAGTACTGAAGTTGATGGAAATACTTTTGAATATTTTGAAATCTGAAGTCATTAGTTGGATCTAAGGAAAATTTTCTAGTTTGAGTTAGTTAAGAAGAACCTAACTAGATATAAAAGTCTTATAAAAGATGTAATTGGACTCCACCTACAACTAGAAGAATATTGGAACTAGTTTGAGATGGAAAGACTACCTCCAGGGTTCTAGTTTGAGAGAAAAGAAAAAGGAGCGAAAAAAGGCAGGTTGAGAGAGTGGCCCATATTTTTTTCACCAAGCTGCTTGTTGAGGGTTTCTAATGGAGGGAAAGAAGTCCAGCAACCTGCAACACACTGAGTTATTTCTTCATCCAAAGATAGAGGCATGTCTTCTCCCTAACCATTTTATTGAGAGAAAAAGAGAGAGCGAGGCATGGATTTGGTGGTTATGTGAAGCATTGGGACTTGTTCCGGTCGACGTTATGTGAGATCCAAAAGGTACGAAGGGCATGTAACACAGAAAGCATAACCTACAAAAATTTCATCTGAAACATTCTGAAAAGGCAAGAAGCTTGAAGTCTGGAAGCTTAGGGTGCACAAAGTCTTAGGGGTTGACCCGAGGCAAATCTAGTTCTTTGTTTTCTCTAAAGATCTAGCTATTGAGCATCTATTTAACGATGTGGAAGTCGCATTTATTAATTCAAGTTATATGGTTGTTTTCTATTTTTTCGCCTAGTTTTTCTTGCGTAGGTTTGGTGCATGTGAGACTACGGAGTTGCAGGGATGTTAACAAAGGGCACTCAATTTAGTCTCTTGAAAATATTAATAAGTGGCACCCTGAATTATTCTCGTCATCACCACCCTTATTGTTATCTAATCCCTCATTTCGGTACTCATCTCTTCTATAGTTACACTCTAAAATTTTAAGATGCTCTCTCTTATAGTTCTTTTTTTAAAATTTTAATATACTTTCTCGCTCTAAAACTTAAAATTTGATATAGTTTCTATATCTAATTATTTTTAAATAGTTTCTCTCCCTAAAACTTAAAATTTGAGATAGTTTCTCTATCTTTTTCTTTAAAATAGTTTCTCTCTCTAAAAATTTCAGATACTCTCTCTCTAATGTTTTAATATATTTTCTCTCTCTAAAACTTAAATTTTGAAATAGTTTCTCTATCTAAAATTTTCAAATAGTTTATTTTTCCTAAAATGTGAATATATTTTCTTTCTCAAAAACTTAAAATTTGATATAGTTTCTCTATCTAATTTTTTTAAATAGTTTCTCTCTCTAAATTTTTTGCATGCTTTCTCTCTCTAAAATTTGATATAGTTTCTCTCTCTAAAACTTAAAATTAGAGATAGTTTTTCTCTCTACAAAGTTTCAGGTAGTTTCTCTATCTAAAATTTGATATAGTTTCTAATCTCTAAAATTTTAATATGCTCTCTCTCTAAAACTTAATATTTGAGATAATCTCTCTCTAAATGCTTTGAGATATTTATCTCTAAATTTTTTTTAAAGTAGGTCCTCTCTCTAAAATTTAATTGTAGTTTTTCTCTCTAAAATTTTAATATACTTTCCCTCTATAAAACTTAAGATTTGAGGTAGTTTTTCTTACTAAAATTTAATTTGGCCACTCTAAAACTTTAAATTTGAGATAGTTTCTCACTCTTAAAATTTGGGATAGTTTTTCTCTCTAAAAAAATTTGTACATTTTCTCACTCTAAAAAAAATTGTATACTTTCTCTTTCTAAAATTTGATATAATTTCCCTCTTTCAAATTTGAATAGTTTTTTTCTCTCTAAAAATTGATACAGTTTCTCTCTCTAAAATTTTAATACTTTTTTGTTCTTCTGCAGCAAAATGAGTTATTTCCTTAAAATGTCAATTCCACCTATTTTGGTGGAATTGAGATTTCTAAAATTTATGCTTAAAAAAGCATTCGGGAATCCGATGGAAATGTCAAATTTTAGGTGAACCAAATAAGCTTTTTCAATAAAAGTCTCTTAAAAATCTGAATCCAAGAAACTAAAGAGGCCTTAGGGAATAGAAAGTTAGAATATAAGGTAGCAGAATGGATTTCGTTTGAATTGAGTGATAAGAGAGATACAACCTAAAGTTGGAAGGGCATATTAACGATATCATCACACGGTCGCAGAATATGATCCTCATATACGCTCAAATTTGATGTATAATAGTACCATCAAATTTCATGTAGTCAGTTAAAAGGATGATACATATCACTCATGGCAAAATAAAATAATAAAAAATTTAGAGTATCTTAGAGAGAAGGAAACGAATGTGGTCTTTAAGTACTACATTACGCTACCATTATGGGACAATTTATCTTTCATATGATAATGTCATAATTACTTATAGTTATTAGATGTTAAATTGGATAGTTTGGAGTGTTTTATGAAGTTCAAAAAATTTTATTCTCAAATTTTGAATTTAGTCAATAATATACTCACAACCACTCGATTGGAAATCTGAATGATAAGCTTGATTGTGACTTCTTGTTTAAAAAATAAATGGTCCCTTTATACACTCTTCTTAAACATAATGATCATTCGGAAAAGATATCATGAACTGTCGTAATCCTAATAATTACAAGAACCAAAAGGCCAAAAACATTCTTTACGAAGAAACTCATTTTATCAAATACATTTTCAACGTGTCTAACATTCTATACGAAGAAATTTTATCAAATACATTTTCTAACATGTCTTCTACAATGTTTGGGGAAAGAAGAAAAACAATAATTTTGCATCCAGCCGAATCACCTTCCATGCTAATTTGTAAATACCTTCAGAGAAAGAAAGAAAAGTTACACGAAAAACAAATAAGAAACTATATATTTTCCATACAAGGAGGTTACAATTATCATTGGCTATTCGATGTGAAATCAGACAACTTAAAGTATGTCATATAGTTCAAGAAATTTTTTTTTGAACTTTGTGTCTAGTCAATGGATCAACCCTAGCCATCCGATTTTACATCTAACGGCCGACAATGTATGACTTCTTATATAAAAATTAAGGGACTAGCTGAGGTCTGCCCACCGGCTTACGACTTCAATAAACATCCATCGACTTGTATTGAATTTAGGCAACTCCAATTGTCACAATTGCTTTTTGTATTTGAATTTGAATTTTTTTACAAATCTAAAGGACTTGAAATTTAGAGTGTCTACTATTAAAACCAAGTGTATCAAATAAAAATATTAAAAAAAAACTCATAAAAAATAAATTGACCAAAATTTCTCTAAAAATTTTAAGAGTATTTTGGTTAATTTATTTTTATGAATTTATTTGTAATATTTTTATCAGATACAAATTAATTAGAAGAGTTGATGATCTAAATTGTATGATTTAGATTTGGGTACGGTTTGTATAGAGCCAAGGCTCTAAACAATCAAATTAGAGCCCACCTTCAAGTAATGTCGAGAAATATGCTTTCAGTACTGGAAATCTTTGTGATAGCCTTAAACTATATTTTCATCTTTAATTATAAAATTTAACGATTAAAAAATAGTGTAGATTGAGCCGATCTATGAAAACTTGAAAATTAACGGTCCAAAAATGCGTTACAATATGCATCATTTTTAAAACTTGAAATCCATTTTTTTCTCATGTCCATGCATCTTGATGTTGAGATAATCAATTTTAAGATACTTGAGCATCAAAACAACATATTCCAGTGAAATTTTTGAGGTAGGCTCTAATTTAATTATTTAGAGCCTAGGTTCTATATAAACTTTTTCTTTAGATTTATCTAAAAAATATTAAATTCAAATATGATAAAGGTCAAGATTCAATACTTACATTGTTGCGAAAATTATAAAAAACCGCAAAACTATGCTTTTTATGCAACTTACCCCCATCCTAACTTTTTCTCTCATGTTTTTTCCCTAAAATATATTTTCTATACAAAAACCCCCCAACAAAAAAAAAGATACCTAAACTACCATCCCTTACTTTTACTTTATCCAAGGCTTTCCCTCTTCTGTCCCACCAAAATAGGGGCTTCGGCCCCATGTAAGTGCAGTCCAGCAATCGAGCTCCGGTACTGTATAAAGTTCGGTCTGACAATAAGGCTTCGACACTGTGTAAAGTGTGGTCCGGCAGTTGTAAAGGGAGTGAGAGAAAAAGTTAAGTTGGTGGTAAGTTGCATAAAAAGTGTGGTCTTCGTTTTTTTTTTGTTGTTGTTGTAATTTTTCGTAGGGTTATATTTTCTTTTTGGGAAAATTATAAAAAAAAAACCCCAAAGACTACACTTACTATGCAACTTACCCCAACCCAACTTATTCTCTTACTTTTTTTCCCAAAAGTATACTTTTTATGCAAATACTCCGCAACCAAAAAAATTCATTTTTTTTTACGGAAATACCCTTCCTGTACAATATAATCAATTTCACCACTTACAAGGCTTTCATGTGTGGTACTGCCGAAGCGTGCATTAAAACTGTTGGAGCGGCAGTACTTCGAGAACATAAAGATAGCGCTTTGAAACTGTCGGAGCGCGCTTTGAAACTGTCGGAGCATTGTGACTAACAGAACCTTATCTACCAGAGCGCTCTTTGCAACTGCCAGAGCGACCATGCCGGACCGTGCTTTCAAACTGCTGGAGCGATGTGGTACTGCCGGAGTGGCAGTACTCCATAACATGTACTATGTACTACCGAACCGTGATTTGAAACTACCGGAGCGACATGACTAACATAACCTTTTCTACCGAAACGCTTTTTGTAGTTGTCGAAGTGACCACTATCGGACTGTGCTTTTAAACCACTGTAGCATTGTGGTATTGCCGGAGCGTGCATTGAAACTGTCGGAGATGCAGTACTTCCAAAACATATACTGCCGAACCGAGCTTTGAAACTGCTGGACGCCCTTCGAGGTACTGCGACTTTGGCAGTTTTAATGCACGCTCCGGCAGTTTGACATGTGAAGGCCTTGTAAGTGGCAAAATTGATTATTTTCGTACGGGAAGGGCATTCCGTCAAGAAAAAACGTTTTTGGTTGGGGGTATTTGCATAGAAAATATGCTGCACAGAAAGCGAAGTCTTGGTTTTTTTTTTTTATTTCTTTTTTTTTTCCCAAAAATAATCTCTATCACAAAAATTGGTAGGTCAGGTTGTCCTGCTGCCGAGGTTGGAAAATATCCTCTCTTCATCTCTCACGTGTGCTCTCTTAAGGCTACCGGGCAGTTATAAATACTCGCAGAAAAGAAAAACATTCGATTATCAAATTTATCCCTATCCATAAGCCAATTTTACAGATAACCAAAATTCACATTCGAGAATGGGTGTGAAATTCAGGGGTTCCCTTCTCTTGCCTCAATTCATAGAACTTTTAGTGCAATGAGCTACTAAATTTCGAGCCTTTCTGTAACAGTAATGGTGTTTTCGACCAAAGAAATGCGTTTTCTCTACCTCTGTTGCTCTCCTAACCTATGGAAACCGAGAAAACCGTGGAGAAGGCTTGGTACCAGAGCTATGGTGGAAGAAGATTTCTCAGGGGAAAATGCATACGATGTTTTAGGAGTTGCAGAGAATTGCAGCTTGGAGGAAATCAAATCTTCGTTTCGGAAGCTTGCAAAGGAAACCCATCCTGATGCACGAATTCGGGCTGATGCTGCTTCTACTGATTGCTTCATTCGAATCATGGCTGCGTATGAGGTGTGATCATTTTTTTGATTTATTGATTTTCCATTCATTTGGCTATTTAGAGTCCTGAATATGGACCAGCCTTTTGAAAATATTTGGAGTTTGGATAATTTCTTATTGATTTTGGATAACCTCACTTAGGAAATCTATACTAAGGCAACAATGGGGAGTCACATCCAAAGAAGATATGCTTGGGCTACAAATTGCTTATTTTAATTCAGACATTTGTTTTTTTGTTAGCAAGGATTACAATTTTACTTTCAAATGATCAAAAGAAATTGAAGAGCAATTTGAATTTGATTTATGTGAGGTTTTACATGTTTGTTTCTCTTCATTTGGCTGGCTTTTAAAATGCATTTCATTTGCTACCTCTCATTGTATTATGCAGTATTTATTTACTTTTGTGAGACTCTAATTGTATTATACCATACCATTTACTCCCTGATGTGAAGTTTTTGTAATATTGTTAATAAAAAAAAAAACAACACTTTGTTCTCCAAAGTTATTTTTGATAATGGCCTTGCATTCTTATTATTCCGTTGGAATTTGCATAATTGCTTGTTGATGAAGAATCTACTCTTACTTTTTCATTCTTCCTGACCAATCATGTGATAAAGTGTTTAGAGCAATGAGGTATACCTAATATTAAACCACGATGGTGCAAAAAAAAGGGTGATGAATACAGCAGAAGATCACTGATGAGCAAGAGAGTAGAGGACCAGAAACTTTTTGCATACTTCACAATATTGCATGTCATCCATGAACAAAGAAATATTTCGTAAATGTTTAACATCAATTGATTAATAAGATGATATGTTCCATTTAATTTCCATATTGAAACAAATCTTAGTACTATGGAATAGCTATATGCAATCAGTATTCAGTGTCATAAGTTCACTGCTGCTTGTTTACGGCTTATACTTAAAAAAGTTCCATATCTATGTGATATAGCATTCTGTTCTCTAAAGTTCTTGTCAGAGGTCTTTAATCTTATCCTTACAAGAGTATGCATGATGGAATGTTTTTATTTGATCAACCAACTTTTATTTTCAAATTGGGTGGGTTCCTTTCTGCACAATACACATAATTTTTAGTCATACGATTCCCATGAAAAATTAACAAGTGATGCTGATCAATATCAGTAAGTCAGTTTATAAGACCCTATGGATTTTGAAGTACATGTATCTTATTACTTCATGCAACATAGATGAATCATTACTAAAATAAAAATGTTTGTTCTTTGAAGGAGGAAGTTCTGGCCTAAGATATCTGTTTCGGAATTGGACTGCAGATTCTTTCTGATACGCAAAGAAGGACCCACTATGATATATATTTGTCTTCTCAGAGAAGGACCTTGCAAAGACAGTGGGAAAGCAGTTCAGCCATGTATCCAGGTGATCATTTTGCCCCGCATACCAAGCAGATGGAAGTGGTGCAGTGGCTGAAATGGTATAGACATGTTGTAAACGATATTGTGTCGAAAAAGGAGATAGTGATGGGATCAAGCTATCTAGAGAGGCTTGAAGGCGAACTTTATGAAGCCATTCGTGCAGCTTATTTTGGGCCGGTTATTGATCATATGGACCTTCTGCCTGACTGTTTTGAAGCTGAGGAGAGGTCTGCAATTGAAACAGCAGAGATATTACACTTGGTATCTGGACGTGATCTTTTCGGAGTCATTTACATAGCCAATAAGGTTCTTAGCTTGTCAGAAGGCTCCTTGAAAACCTTGCCTTCATATGTGACTATGGGACCAACTTTCTGTGCCTCTAACGGGGATAGAAAGATGCATTTAAATCTTGACATGTCTTATAAAACAAGTAATGTAGCGGGTCAGTTATTGGACAGTGAAGAATCTATCAGACGGATGCAAAGTTATGGAAGATACCATAAAGTTCATGACTCAGATGTGTATAAGGATTTAGAGTTGCATATTGCTGGAAAACTGGTTGCTGTGGCAACTAGAATTCCTCCCAGAAGGCATCAGAATGGGTTGCATTATGAAGATTCTCAGGACCATATACATGTCTTTCTTAATTCCACAGAAGATTATGAGGATTGCACTGCTAGATATGTGCCAAAACCATCATCTGGCTGCTCAAATCTTCTGGGGACAATAAGTGGACTTGGAACAACCCCACAAGAAAGTTCATGCTTTGTTTATGATGCCAATGGTACAAAAACCCATGTCATCATGAAACATAGGACAATGATGGTTAGTTTTAAAGTTTCATATAATTATTTTAGTTTTCCTCACTAATTTACCACTTGTTTGTTGGCACGTTGCTTTTGTGGTTGGGACAAAAATAGGTAGTTCCTGTGCATATACCACTCATGCAGTGGAGGCAAATTAAAGGCCTGTGCACATGTGAAAAGACAGAAAATATGGCATCCAAATAGCTGCCACCCACAAGTGGGTCATCACCCAAAATGCCATCCCAAACCATGGTTGTACCATGGTTTGGGGTGCCATCCAGTCGAGCCCTGAAGATGATCTCTATTTTTTAAAGGATTTCTAAGATTTAGCTCTCAGCATATTTTTGGAACTTCATCATGTTAAGAGACAATATGTGTGTTTATTGTTAATTTATATCGGAATGTATAGTAACTTGCCCTTGTGGTCTTGGCTGTTGCGGTTACTTTTCGTGATGGTTTCTGTTGCATGCTTTATGTGCCTTAGCCTGAAGCCATCAATGAAGGGTTTCTCTTCTAAAATAAATATATGAATAAAGAAATAGATCAATAGATAGATAGATACATAGATTGGTTGATTGATTGATAGATAGATCGGACTGCACATAAATACACATTTAATTTGATGAAAAACTAAAGAATATTCTAGGAAACACCACTGTTGAAGCTGTATGTCTCATCCTTCCCCCGTAAAGAAACACTAACAATCAAGCTGTATGCCCCATACTCCCCCGAATTTCCAACACTTAATGCTTTTGACTCTTAAACTTATTCTTTGTGCTCATGTTTCCTGCTGAGCCTAGACATCGTTTGTTTCACTCGTGGTGACCTAATGGACTAGTGCCTTTTGGTTTGTGCTTCTTTTTCTTTCCTTTGGCTGTCTCTCTACTCTTTGATTCTTTTTTCTGAACAAGTGTTAACTGTTGTAATAAGCATGGATTTTTGTGATACAAAATGAAGTATGTCAACTAACAAGCTGGGTGCTCTGTACGTTGCCAAAAAATATGCTTTGTCAAAGATTTTTATACATCCAAAAAATCTGTAACAGAACACAGTACATCCATGAAGAATTCTAACTTCTTTTGCACACGGAGGAAATTTATACATATTGATGTGTCTAAAAGGAATGCAACTGCATTTATCTCTAAGCCCACTTGTAGTATAAACAAAAAAAAAAAAGCCATCCTCCCTTTACTTTGGAAGATCTGTCTGATGGCAATCATTTTGGTGCAAGATCAGCCGATATCAGGATTGGTGCTGCTTGGCTCCAAAATCAATTAGCTAATCCATGGATTGCGCTCGTACGACTCATCCTTTCCTGTGTTGTCCAGGCTTGCTGTAGGACCTTAAGTGCTCAATGGGAAAGGCTCCAAATTCTATGATCCTAAGAGTGGCGGCATTCTGGGTTGGGAGAAGAAGCATGTAGAAGGTGTGAAAACAATGGGATTTTAGTGGCATATGTGCAAATTATCAGAGGTTTAGGTTGAGAATATGATTATGGGATCCTAATGCCAAATTTTTTGATTTAAAAAAGCCAAGGAATTGTTCTAAAAGTTGTTATTGGTTGTTTGGAGTACTACTCTGATATTTAGACCAAGGGTATTGTGGACTATGCTGTCAAACAGCTCCTGTAAGTTTGATTTTGATGGGAGTTCTTTTCTAATCTAGGCCTATGTGAAGTTTAAGGTGGTTTTAGAGAGAGCTGCAACAAGTCTCCTAAGTCCTTTGTAGGGTTGGTGATGCAGGACAAAATTATTCTTATCTTTAGATTATGTTTAATATCAAAGGATTTATATTTTAATTTTAACTTTAGGGTTTATTTTGGGGTCTTTACATTTTTTAGGATTTCGAGGTTTTTTTTTTTTTAAATAAATTTTTAGTATTTATAGTACTTTTGGAATTATTTATTTTACTAGGGATAAAAATGTCATTACAAATTTTATTTTAATTAAGACTTCTATTTTAATTAGAGTTAAGATTTCTTGGGGTCTAAGTTAGATATTTATTATAAATAGGGATTGGAAGAGGTTCACAAGAAGATTGACGTGATTTTGAAATAAGGAGAGAGCTTTGAGCTGGAATCCTTGGTTAGGGTTCGGTGTAGGAGAAAACTCAGGTTCGTCTAAGAGATGCTTGTGTTGGCCTCAAATATTGCTGATTTTCTGTTCTTCAAATTTCGTACATTGATTTGGTATCAAAGCTCATGTTTTTTCAACAACAAATCCATGAATCTGCAACCAAGTCTAGGGTTTGTTGAATTGGAGCTAGGGTTCGCTGATTCTAGCTAAATGTTTACTGATAATCTGATATTTTTTTTTTGAGAAAGGTTAACATTGTATTACTGGGTAAGAAATGTATAATAGAGAGGAAGCCAAGTTCACCCTAAGGGGTGGACTGGAAAAATACAGTCAGTGTATCATATACAAAAAGGGCTTATAAGACCGTCCAATGTGATTGTTTTACATGAAGCTTTCAAAAAATACAAAAAATGAGGAGGCCTAGAGAGGCCAGGTGATGTGCTATGGAAGCGAGCTGAGCCAGAGGTCTTGTGCCAAAGAGGATACTGATAATCTGATATTAGCCCAAGGTTTGCTAAAATCAGCCTAGATCTTACTGATTTTAGCTAGGCTTTGCTGATTGTCTTCCTAGGATTTGTAATTTCCATGAACCCATGACAGCTAGAAGGGGTTGAGGAAGGGATGCTCTCGGAGGCCTACCCCTGATGCCTTAAGGAGGCCAACCACAGAAAATCTTTATTTTCATCAAGTTGTTTCCAAGATCAGCAGGTGTAGTTTGGGACTCACAATCAAACTTTGATGCATGCTTAGATGAAGAACAATATCTTGGAGAAGAGCTGATTTATGATTATGAACAAGATCTTGTGGTTGAACCAATTTTTGATAAAGAAAAAGATGAAGGGCTACAAGGAGAATAAACAAATGAAGTTGTTGGTTCGACCATTGAATCCAGTGCTCATCTCGAAGATGCATCTATGATTCTATTGACATACAATGACCCCTTCCTCAAGGTGTGTTTATGTTCTTTTAAGCTGATTTCAAAGTCCTAGTCTTTATGCATGATTGTTGTATTTTGATTGGGCCAATAGCTCACAAGTCCAAGGATTCGAAGCATAATGTTCGGACTAAAGAAGGTTGTTGGACTAACATAAAATTCATCTTAGCCTACTTCAAACCTCTAGGTCGAGTTATCTCTAACTTAAGGATATATGTTTAAATTTTAACTTTAGGGTTTATTTTTAGGGTTTTGAAGTAGTTAGAGTACTCATGGAATAATTTTTTTATTAGGAATAAACTATTATTATGAATTTTGTTTTAATTAAGACTTCATTAATATTTCTAGGGGTCTAAGTAAGGTCTCTATTATAAATAGCGATTGGAAGATTCTCTCTATTTCATTTGACAAAAAATTGTGTACTAGGCCTTTTTTTTATTGGGCTACCAAATAGTGTATAGACTATTGCAAAGAAGCGTATAGGATGCACCTTCCTATTATGTGTATACAAGGAAAGAAAAAATTGTAGAGAATAATATACACAGGTGACTATATATTCATACTCAAATTCAAGCTAGTCTGACCGGAATCATGGAGAGTTTGGAGAGAAACCAAGAAAATTGAGTTGCAGTTTGTGTTTTAGTGAAGAAGTCGGCCAGCAGTTCAGTGGAGTTAATACATGGAAGAGAAATTTTCCTCGCCAAAAATTCTTGTCGTATAAAGTGCAGTCAACTTTAATAGGCTTGGTACGTTAATGGAATTCTGGATTCTTTGAAACATAGATGGCACTCTTATTATCATAATAAAGTGGCATGGCAGTGTTAATGGTAATGCCCATGTCAGCGAGCAACCATCGAAGCTTAACAACTTCAATGGTAGTTTCTGCCATGGCCATGTATTCGGTTTCTATTGTAGATTGTGTGATACGCTTTTGTTTCTTGCTTTTCCATGACAAATGAGAATTATGAAGAAAAATGCAGAGTCCTATAATCGATTTGTGATTACTAGGATTCCCTACAAAATCTGAGTCTGCTTGAAGCTCAAGTAAGGAAGTGGAGGAGAAAAGCAAAGCATGCTATAGAGCATTTTGGACAAAATGAATTATGAACAAGATCGCAACTAGTTGGATAGATCAAGCCATAGTTAAGGGAACCTTGTGGGTAGGGTGACGATCCCGCTCCGAAACCTCGATCCTGTGGTTCCTACAAGGGATCTTGTAGGGACCCCATTTTTTTGATTTTGGGATCTCGCTCCCAAAAAAAGGGGACCATGTTCCATCCATCAATGGAATTCAATACCATTTCAAAATAAATCCCCGCTCCCATCAACCATGGTCCAAGGTTTTGTACATTTTAATCTTGGGTTCCATGTTTGTGGTATCTACTTTCATTTACGGATGATACCAGGTTAGAGATTGCCATTGTCCGAAGTTCCCATTATTTAAGAATCACAAGTTCCGTGATGTTAAAATCCAGTCCCTTTTTCACTTAGCACGAAGTTCCATTATTTTTAGATTCTTAATTTGAACTAGGCATAGTCTAGTGTCTTTGTTTCATTAAGTCTTATTATGTAAGTCATCCCTCTTAGTTGCGAGAATATACATGTCATTTAAAATCTTATATTTATGATGTCCTATCATTTTAGAGTCTTAAATCTTATTACAATTGTGAGATGATAATATATGCTTGCATTTCAAGCTTTAAAAAACTTCTTTTACATCAATCAGAGAGAGAGAGAGAGAGAGAGAGAGAGAGAGAGTAGTTCATCTTGTCCTTTTGCCCCTTCGGAGAGCCAGCCTTTGAGAAACAATGGAAGCAGAGGAGACTATATTCGAAGAAGATAACTCTTGAGTGGTAGGATTCTGGGTTGCCGGGGACTCAGAGGGAATAGTGCATGCCAAACTTGTGTCATGGCATGAAGATGTAGTGGTCATAAGAAAAACCGACTTATAAAGCTACATAATTAATCCGTTGTTATTCACACAAAAATAACTAAATCCATTGTTAAGGG